TACCTGGGCCTGAGGTTGAGGTCAAGCTCCCCCACCTCCCAGTCTTCCCCTTAGGTCACTCTGCTTCATCATTGGTCAGAATGTGTACTGAGCACCCTCTCACTGCTGGACACTGGACCCCCAGGGAGAGCCCCCAACCTCCCCCCCACGCCTTCTGGGTCTCCGCTCACCTTGTCACCTTCCCACGCCACCCTGCTCAGATCTCCCCGATCCGCGCTTCTCCGCGGACTCTGCGCCCCCGACAAGGAAGTTCTCCTTATTGTCGTTATCCGTCACTCCTCACCCTGACAGCACCACGAGGGGGTGGTTCTCATGTCTGGTCCCTGCCGTGCCCCCAGCCCCTAACGGTGCCAGGCACACAGAAGACTTTCAAAAGCATGGCACCGTCTGTCAGGCCTCCGCCGCCCTCCGGTCCTGCCCGCTCTGGCGCCTGCTGCAGAAAACAGGGTCCCTCCCCGCGGGGACACCGCCGGTTGTGTCAGGGGCAGCTGTGCGGGCCGGAGGCTCACAAGGAGGCACAGTGCTCACACAGAGGGCGTCTGTGGCCACCGCACAGGGCCTCGCTTTTCCTACCAGCAGCAGCAGCCAAGCCCGGTCCCAGCAGGGGACATCAGGCCCCCGCACGCCCGTCCTGCTGGACTCCCCACCCCGCGGGCCACACAGGTGGGGAGAACACGGGCGTTCTCCCCAGCGCTGGACTCTGAGCTAGTGACGCTGACACGCTCAGCTTCTGGGGCGATGCTGAGGCAGCTCTGTCGGTGACCCCTGGTTCTGTCTACACAGCATGGCATCCTCACGCCAGCCCGAGGGGTGACTGGGAAACCCGAAGGATAAGGGGGAGCCCGGGACCATCGTGTGGGTTCTCTCGAGCCTGCCGGCCTGAAAAACACTTCTGTCCTTCCGCCCTGGTACAGCCACCGGCCAGCAGACCCAGCAGCTCTGACAGCCAAGCTTAGCCTCCCAGCTGGCGGGATCAATCACCATGGAGAGCAGCCTCCCGGGGGACACGAGCTGAGTGACACGGATTGATGAGGGCCCCCTGTCAGGATGGGAAACCCAGCGCTGGAGAGAAGGGTCCTGGGTGGGAGGGAGGACAGGTGGCAACCGCCCCGGGGATCCGTCTGCTTATCCGAGCCCTGGGGAGGAAGGGGAACAGCTCACACCCCACCTTTGAGTGGTGGGGGAGGGGAGTAGGGAACAGAGGCAGGACAGCAGCAGCAACGGTGGTGGCCGGGGGGCTCTGGGGAGGGAGCTGGAGGGTCTGCGGAGACAGCGCGGCGGGCAGAGACGCGCCTCCTACACCCACGAGGGCGGGCGGCTGAGCTTCACAGCCACTCAGGCCACACGGCTCCCCCGTGCTGGAAAAATCCGACACGGCTACACCCCGATCGCCCACATCCCTCCGAGATTCTGCACCTTGCTCCGCCCAGGTATTCTGAAGGGCAGAGTTGGGGAGAATCCCCACGTGGCCACAGGCCTAGGAACGAGGAGGCTCCAGCAAGCCCTGGACGCTGGCATCTCACAGCTTACAGGCCGCGTCCTTCACAGCAGAGGTCTGGATAACCTACTAACTCAGTGATCTTTATCGAGCTCAGCCAGGAGCCAGGCACCACGCTGGGCACGTCACAGGTGTTATCTCAGTTAACCTCCTGGGGAGCCTGGAAGCAGGCAGATAAGCGAATACGGAGGAAATCAAGGCCCACGGAAATCAGTTACTCGCTAGCCCAAGGTCAGAAGCAAAGGTCCTCTGGTGCCCACGCCCTGCCAGGAGCTGCTCTAAGCACTTTACACATGTTGACGTGACCCTCACACAATCCTCCCCCTCCAGTTCTGACGCAGAAACTGCAGCGCAGGCCACCTGGCTCTGGTGACTGTCCTCTGAGCCCCCACGCGGCCCTGGCTGCCTCTCCGGAAGGGGCAGGGGAAGGCAAAGGGAGCAAAGCATCGACACAGACACCCTCCTTTGTCCCACCACAGGGACCCAGCTCTGCTCCCAGAGGACCTGACCTGCCTCCTCAGGACGCTGGGTGGGTGACAGCAGCATCAGTGGCGCCACAGGGCCCATTCCTGCAGGCTGGGGCACTGGACCCCGGGCCTGGCCTTCACCCCGGCTCACCCCCAGCTGGCTTCTGCCTGCGGCCAGGGCGGGGACATCCCTGAAGGCCTCCTACAAGGGCCCCATTAGGTCTCGGGGAGCCGAGACCTCAGGACACACCTGCCCCTGCTTCCAGGAACAATCTGTCCCTGTTCGTCTAATAAAAACCCTATCTAGTGCCAGCAGAAGCCCTGGAGGTCGAGTTTCAGGAGACGATCCTAGGACCAGGCTGGACAGAGCTGCCAGTGGCATTTGCCGCTGGACAGGCCACTTGCAGAGTCACGCCAGGGAGCATCTCCGTAGGTGCTGGTTCAGAAGACGGCAGACCAGGTGAGGCGGCCGGGCCAGGGCAGGAGCCGCAGCAGTGATCCCCCCGGGACTCGGCAGGGATGTGGGAGTGGACAGTGTCAGTAAGCCAGAGGACCAAGCAGGAAGCTCCGGTCAGCTCACAGCAGCCTGGTCCCTGCCCCACCAGCTGTGACCTTCCCCCCAGGAAGTTTGAGAAGAGCCATACAGCCCAGGCGGGGCAGGGGGGGCAGGGGGCAGGGACAGTCACAGAGGATGGAGCAAGAGCGTAAGCATCTCATGAGGCCACGGCTCCTTGGCCCATCACACACCAACACTGTTCTGGAAACCCACGGCGGTCGGCAAGTGGTCAGGGCTGAGTGACCAGAGGCTGCAGCCCAGACACCCTCGAGTCCGTGGAGTGCTACGCACAGCAGGGAACAGACTTGGGAGACCCCTTCCCCGCAGGCCCGTGCACCTGGCAGCCCATGTGTCTGGGGACAAATACAGGTCTTCTCACCCAGTTCCACCACTGCCACCGCAGCCGCCCAGCCGCCCAGCCCTCAGACCCCGGTCCCACGCCCCCAACTCACTGAGGAGCCTTCGCTGCAGAAATCCCCATTCCCAGACCTCAGCTCCCTGTAAAAACCTCGCTGTCTAGTCGGGCAGCACACACGCAGCCTGTCTAAAGCATCCAAAGCTTCACCTGCATTCCAGCCACGGGGCCTCCCTTCCACTCCTCCCACAGGGCAAGCCAGGTCTCCCCGGCAGGCCAGCTGAAACGCCCCTTCCTGGAGGGTCTGTCCCACCCACTCGACCCTGAGCAGCCCCACCCCCACACGGGAGCATCCGCCTGCAGACTTTCACCCAGGACACTGACTATCTGAAACCATCTTGTCTGTTTACCATTTATTCTGTCTCTACCTCTGACCCCCGAACAGACACACAGGGCACGAGGGATTCCGTGCGTCTTGCTCTCTCTCCAGCACCCACACCCTGTCCCTGGCTGTCAATAAATCTTTATTG